TGGCCCTTAAACGTAGATATACAAGTTAAGACCATGCACAGCTGTCCAGTATCTGGCCCAATTCTGACCCACACTTGGGTATGTAAGCCAGAATTGAAGGTTAAAACTCTGACACCATGGCCTAAAACCAACATTGGCATAAGACGTGTGGAAGACGTTGGATCTTGGTTACATGGCACCGCAATTTTAAACCAACAAAATATCAACTTCTATTAATGTTAGAATGTCATGTCGAAATCACCATACAGATGACTGCATGTCAGTATTATATGTCAATATGAGGTTGACATGTGACGTTTGAAAGATGTTGGATTTTGGTTACCTGACACCACAATTTTAAAACCAACAAAATGTCAACGTCTAATGATGTGAGAATATCACGTCAAATTAACATTAAGATTATGGCGTTAAATAGACATTGGGTTTTAGTTACCATACCTCATGACTGCATGTCAGTATTATACGTCAATATGATGTTGGGATGTGATGTTTGGAAGACGTTAGATTTTGGTTACTATACATCATAACTTAAAACCAACCAAAATATCAACGTCTAATGATGATAGAATGTAACATCAATTTGACGTTAAGGTTATGACGTTAAATGGATGTTGGGTTTTGGTCACCATACCTCACGACTGCAAGTCAGTATTCTACATCAATATGACGTTGGGATGTGATGTTCGGAACAGGCTAGATTTAGCTTTTTTTTACATCACAACTTAAAACCAACAAAATACCAACGTCAGCTGTTGTCATTATTCTACGTCAAATTGACGTTGGGATGTAATGCATGTCAGGATGTAATGCATGTCAGTATTCTATGTCAATATAAGGTTGGGATGTGACGTTTAGAAGACGTTGGATTTGGTTAGAATGTTACGACAATCTGACGTTAAGGTTATGACATTAAATAGACGTTGGGTTTTGGTCACCATACCTCACGACTTCATGTCAGTATTCTACGTCAATGTGATGTTGGGATGTGACGTTTGGAAGACATTGGATTTGGGTTACTTTACATCACAGCTTAAAACCAACAAAATATCAACGTCTAATGATGTTAAAATGTTACATTAATTTGACGTTAAGGTTATGACTTTAAAAAGACATTGGGTTTTGGTCACCATACCTCACGACTGCATGTCAGTATTCTACGTCAATCTGACATTGGCATGTGACGTTTGGAAGACGTTGGATCTTGGTTAGTGAACATCACACCTTAAAACCAATAAAATATCAACGCCTAATGATGATAGAGTGTTACGTCAATCTGACGTTAAGGTTATGACGTTAAATAGACATTGGGTTTTGGTCACCATACCTCACGCCTACATGTCAGTATTCTACATCAATCTGACGTTGGGATGTGACATTTGGAAGACATTGGATTTTGGTTACTTTACATCACAACTTAAAACCAACAAAATATCAACGTCTAATGATGTTAGAATGTTACATCAATCTGACGTTAAGGTTATGACGTTAAATAGACGTTGGATTTTGGTCACCATACCTCATGATTATATGTCAGTATTCTACGTCAATCTGACGTTGGCATGTGACGTTTGGAGAACTTTAGACTTTGGTTACAATACATCACAACTTAAAACCAACAAAATATCAACGTCTAATGATGTTAGAATGTTACATCAATCTGATATTAAGGTTATGACCTTAAATAGACGTTGGGTTTTGGTCACCATACCTGATGAATACATGTCAGTATTCTACGTCAATATGATGTTGGGATGTGACGTTTGGAAGATGTTGGCTCTTGTTTACCTTATATCATAAAACCAACAATAATATCAACGTCTAATGATGTCAGAATGTTACGGCAATCTGACGTTAAGGTTATGACGTTAAATAGACGTTGGGTTTTGGTCACCATAACTTACGACTGCATGTCAGTATTCTACATCAATCTGATGTTGGGATGTGACGTTTGGAAGATGTTGGCTCTTGTTTACCTTATATCATAAAACCAACAATAATATCAACGTCTAATGATGTCAGAATGTTACGGCAATCTGACGTTCAGGTTATGACGTTAAATAGATGGTGGGTTTTGGTCACCATAACTTACGACTGCATGTCAGTATTCTACATCAATCTGATGTTGGGATGTGACGTTTGGAAGATGTTGGATTTTGGTTACTTTACATCACAACTTAAAACCAACAAAATATCAACGTCTAATGATGTTAGAATGTTATGTCAATCTGACGTTCAGGTTATGACGTTAAATAGATGGTGGGTTTTGGTCACCATACCTCACGACTGCATGTCAGTTTTCTACGTCAATCTGACGTTGGCATGTGACATTTGGAAGATGTTGGATTTTGGTTAGTGAACATCACACCTTAAAACCAACAAAATATCAACATCTAATGATGTTAGAATGTTATGTCAATCTGACGTTTAAGGTTATGACGTTAAAGAGACGTTGGGTTTTGGTCAACATACCTTACGACTGCATGTCAGTTTTCTACGTCAATATAAGGTTGGGATGTGACGTTTGGAAGATGTTGGATCTTGGTTAGTGAACATCACACCTTAAAACCAACAAAATATCAACATCTAATGATGTTAGAATGTTATGTCAATCTGACATTAAGGTTATGACGTTGAATAGATGGTGGTTTTTGGTCACCATACCTCACGACTGCATGTCAGTATTCTACGTCAGTATGACGCTGGCATGTGACGTTTGGAAGACGTTGGATCTTGGTTAGTAAACATCACACCTTAAAACCAACAAAATGTCAACGTCTAATGATGATAGAATGTTACATCAATCTGACGTTAAGGTTATGACGTTAAATAGACGTTGGGTTTTGGTCACCGTACCTCACGACTGCATGTCAGTATTCTATGTCAATCTGACATTGGCATGTGACGTTTGGAAGACGTTGGATCTTGGTTAGTGAACATCACACCTTAAAACCAACAAAATATCAACGTCTAATGATGTTAGAATGTTACATCTATCTGACGTTAAGGTTATGACGTTAAATAGACGTTGGGTTTTGGTCACCATACCTCACGACTGCATGTCAGTATTCTAATGTCAGTATGACATTGGCATGTGACGTTTGGAAGATGTTGGATTTTGGTTACTTTACATCACAACTTAAAACCAACAATAATATCAACGTCTAATGATGTTAGAATGTAACGTCAAGCTGACGTTAAGGTTATGACGTTAAATAGACGTTGGGTTTTGGTCACCATACCTTACGACTGCATGTCAGTTTTCTACGTCAGTATGACGTTGGGATGTGATATTTGGAAGATGTTGGATTTTGGTTACTTTACATCACAACTTAAAACCAACAAAATATCAACGTCTAATGATGTTAGAATGTTACGTCAATCTGACGTTAAGGTTATGACGTTAAATAGATGTTGGGTTTTGGTCACCGTACCTCACGACTGCATGTCAGTATTCTACGTCAATCTGACGTTGGCATGTGACGTTTGGAAAACGTTGGATCTTGGTTAGTGAACATCACACCTTAAAACCAACAAAATATCAACGTCTAATGATGTTAGAATGTTACGTCAATCTGACGTTCAGGTTATGACGTTAAATAGACGTTGGGTTTTGGTCACCACACCTCACGACTGCATGTCAGTATTTTACGTCAATCTGACGTTGGCATGTGACGTTTGGAAGACGTTGGATTTTGGTTACTTTACATCACAACTTAAAACCAACCAAATATCAACGTTGGCTGTCGTCATTATTCTACGTCAATTTGACGTTGGAATTAGACGTTGTGTGTATGTTGAATTTTGGTCATCCGACGTCACGACCAACATTCAACCAGATATCAACGTCTTTTGACATTGGTGGCCAGCTAGGAAGACCTGAGGTGTTTAAAAAAATCCTTGTACCAATAAAAACACACACATATGCCACTACCTTGTCTGTGTTACTGCAGTGCTGAGAATGACCGTGACCTTTTAATTTTTACCCGATTTTCTCCCCAATTTAGTCGTCTCCAGTTCCACCCGCTAGTTAGGACTCCCCCAATCACACGATGCTATCAATGCTAGGAGGGTGAAGGCTAACACAGGGCTTCCTCCGAGACCTGTGAAGCCAACCACCGCTTCTTTTTGAACTGCCGCTCACGCAACGTCAATGGACAGCTGAACGCGCTCGGAGGAAAGCGCCAACCGCCAGATCTGTTACGTCAGCTAACAGACGCCTGTGCTGACTAGCATCGCGCTGAGTGATGGGGGGAGAAGGAGGGGCCATCCTACCCACCCAGAGAGAGCAAGGCCAATTGTGCTCTCTCAGACGGCTACGGATGGCTGTAGCCGGGAGTCTGGCGATCTCCTGATGATAGGGCCAACGCTTAGACGGTTGCGCCACTCGGGAGCTGACCCTTAATGAATGAGGTGAAGTGGGGCTAACAAATGTGCAAATAAAAAAGTGGACTACAATCTGAAATTTTAAGTGAACTTTTAAAACTGAGAAATATGGCTGGAAACAAGGTAGGAGTAGCTAATAAAGTGGCCAGTCAATATATAATGTAACAAACAGTGACCACGCTGTCAGAAACAAAGGATACTGTACAAGTACATTTGTGGTCTACAAACAATGTAAATGTACCCTCAAAGGGAGAACAGTGATCTTAAGGTCCAACTTTGTACCTTAAATATTTTTTCCCAAAGGTAAGGTACACAACAGAACATTAAAATAAAAAAGGTTAGAGTCAAGACAAGGCACATGAAGTCAGTGCAACTTAAAAATCTATTTGCAATGAAACATGGTGAAGTGTATGTTCTGTAGTTAAAGGTTCTGAAGACATACCCTTGAGGGTACCAACCCAATGACAGTTTAGTACTTCTTTTTCTGAGATTGCACCTGATGTAAGAAAGTACCATTCAATTACATCACTCCATTCATCCTCATAGTCTTAGTTAAGGTTTACTGTGATTTACTTTACCAGTCAGTCCCTATTTTCTCCCTGTTTTGCATCTGAATAATCCCACCTTGGGCCTCCATTTAATATCCAGAACATGTTGTTTATTGGGGTAAACAAAATGTAATTAAGGAGTTATATGTAATTAAAATACATACAAATGTATTTTGTGTGAACAGAAATGTTCAGTACACAACCCTCACTTTGACAAAAACATATTGCCAGTAAGTTTCTTTCTGCTGTAAAACAGTAACAAGTTGTAAAGTATGGAATAGATAGATACGGAAGATTCAAATTAATGCCAGCCATCACTTACATTCACAAGGGAAAAACAGAATTGTCACTCAGCAATTCAGGGCAGCAGTGAATAAGTACATAAGATGTTCACTTAGTAAGAAACTGACTACATTCATAATTTAGTGATTTTAATGGTTAGTCATATTCTTCATTTTAATGCTATATTTCAGCAAATACAAGGTTTGAGTGCAGGGCACAGCATTAACAATGCATGCATGTGTGTGTGTGTGCGTGTGTGTGTTTTATTTTATACATTGATCTGCCATAGACATAATTTATCAGCATTAAACAAATTAAAAATGAATTCAGTGATTCTGAAAAGTCTGGCTAAAGAATCTTTAGATCTTTTTAAAGTTTGATTGATCTAGAGTTGTTGTCATACATCATAATTAATTAATAATAATAAAAGTGTTCTGTGTATAAACAGGAAATAAACATCCTAATTGTGTGAAGCATGAAAAGTTTACTGTAATGTTGATTTATTATAGCCTACATACAGACTATAAATCATCTAAAAACAAGAAACTTTTGATGGTAATTGTAAATACCTGAGAGCTCATTACTTCTGCCTTTATTATTTTAATAAAACGTGATATTTTCATGTGGCGTGCTGGCCTAATGAAACATGTTTAATTATATAATATAAGTGAATAAGATCTTTAAGACTTTAATCAAACCTTTCAAGAAGTTTTACAAAAACACAAAATGTCTAATAAAGCACAAAACAACTATTCATACATAAAAAATTCATCATGAGCAATTTTCTTTTTCCTCTTCTGTACTTTTGCATAGACAGCAACTGAAGAAGGTTGTTCTGAATCGATTTTCACATCTGGTGAAAAAAAAACAGCACAGTTAGCTTAGTGTTCTCCACTGTGTACAGCTCCTCTGACAGCATCCATTAAAGCAGTTGTTGACCACAGTTAAAATCTTTTCATAAAAGATGTACACTGTGGTCATGACTACAGGCATTGCCCCTTTAACATTTGTCATATTTCACTATGACTGTGAAAGTCCACAATGTATATAAACATACATACCAGGGTGCTCTGCTACGCTGTACACAGCACTGCCTTGAGCCAGACTGTACACTCCACTCTCAGCATAACTAGACAGAGAGAAATGAGTTTAATTAAAGATTTTAGTAACGCTTCCTTTGAAGACCACCAACATAAGGACCTTATTACGCATGAATAAGCATTGAATAACATATTTATAAAGTAAAACTTGAGTATTTATGAACAGCTCATGTTATTAATCACAAGGTGACAAAAGACGTTTTATGAAGTAAATAACATTAACAAGTACAAATGTTCAGTTTATAAGATGTTACAAAAGGAATAATTGTCTCTCACTCTTATGTCAACTCCTTAAAATGTCAGGCTTACTACATTTACTTCATAAACCATCCTATGTCATGTTGCAATCAATGGAATAAGCTGTCCATAAATACTCAACTATTGCTTTATAAGTACATAATTTAATACTTATTAATGTGTTATGAAGTCCTTATGTAGGTAGCTTTCAAATAAAGTGTTACCCAGATTTTTCACCAAATAAGTCATGTTCTCTGCGCTTATTTTTACATTTTCATTAATGTTTTAAGATTTGCTATTTAATCCAAGACTAGATATCTTTGTCCAGAACAGCAGCCAGAAGAGATGTTGTTACTTACCAAGCATCTCCTGGACTTGTGCTAACTGTGAATAAAATAATATTAGAAATTAGATGTAATATTACATTTCTATATCTTTATTACAATTACTGTATTGGCGACATCAGACCTCCTGATCCCTGTTGTAAACATCTTCAATCCTTGATCTAAATTATGGCGCATTCCCCTCTCCCTACATGCCCTGCCCAAATACCACCCCCACAGTGAATTCCTTGTTAAAAAAACTTTAAACGTGGCTCCAATTGAACGGCTGACAAAATTGTACATATAAGTAATAAATTCAGGTAAATCCCATGATACCCGAGTAAGTGATGTTACCGTTAAATTCTGGTATTGTGGAGTATTCACACATGTCATCAAAGGATTCTGTCCTGTAAGATTTATGACATAAAATAGCATCAGGCTACTAAATTCCATTTGAAGAAAATGTTTCAATCTTTTAGAAAAAAATATATTTTTACTGTAGATGTCATTACAACAAACTGTACCTGTTCACTGCCTGTGTCACTTGCACTGAGCCATTATAATAGAGAGGAAAGCAATATGAATTTACCTTACATGAACAATTCACAGGTTACGATTAATATAACACTCTGTGGGGAATTACCTTCACAGTGGCCTGTATTATCCTGTCCACTGAAACAGAGAAAAGAAAAAGATATTTTTTTATAAAGCCTTAAATACAGTTTATAGAAATATTCTGACATGCTAATACAATAGTCCCAGCCCTGGTTCCCCTGCTCTGCATGCTTTGGTGATTCTGCTCTAACACATCTGATTCAACAAATTAGCGAATTGACAAGTTTTCCTGAAATGAAGTGGGTGTGCTTGAGCAGGAAAACACTACAAGCAGAGCAGGGGTAATCCAGGATTGGGCTGAATGATTTGGACAAAATATATAACTGGATTTATTCATTTACTTAAATGCATCTAAATTTATTTAAATATGTTGAACATCAAAACTTTTTTTATGATATAACAATGAAAATATTCAGAGGCCCCTATCAGTCAGCTCAGTGCCAGCTAATGTGGGTTACGGTTTCTGTTTTCGCAGTTTTGGCAGCTAAATAGAAAACAGTGCTAAAAGTACGTCCTAACGCATTTCTTCTGTGCAACCAGACAACAAATTTGTCTGTGTTGCTGGTAATGCAAAAGAGGACGCTAATACTTTTAGCCACCAGCCTCCTCTTATACTATTCAGAAAGAAGCTTTAAAATCAAGTTTTCTAAAGTTGCTTTTAGTAAAGAGCATGTTAGTTGAATGTCTGTTACAAGATGAGAAATTATTTATTTGTAACAATAGCTAATGCTATTAGCGTGACCGCAAATTGTCTGACAGTTATGCTTTTGCATTGTTAGAATGAATGGATGATGAGTAGAACAGAGCATTCAGGATCAGGACTTTTAGTTTTTATTTTTTGTTTGTTTGTTTGGTTTTTTTTGAGTTGAAAGATAAAGCCAGACTGCTGACCAGTAATTGTGCTTGTATTGTCAGTGGGTATTGACAATACACACACATTTGTTTCCATTAGGCTGAATCTGCTCTCTTAAAAGTTGTTAAAACGACATTCTTGATTTCAGCATGAAAACTATTCATCACTCAGCTCCACTCCAGCATCAGTTATTCTGCTAATTACATGTTTAATATACCTTTGTTCTTGGTTGTGGCACAACTCTGCAACGACAAAAATGATAAATATGTTATTGGACAATCTTCTCATAAGATATTTACATATATAAAAAGGCTGGAGAATGTGTCAGATGTGCTTTGCTCTGATGGGCTGATGCAGTTTCTCCTAATTAACTCCAGTGTTTGTAGTAGGACACTGCTGCTGCTGCTGCGGCTGCTGCCGCTGTTTTGCTTTAAAGAGATGTTTGACTGGGTGACTGTGCTGGTATGTGTTTCATATGTCTTATTTGTCATGTACTTTTACACTGACATCTCAGTCCTGCTTAGCAAAAGTAATAAAGTAATACTTACTTGTAAACATTCTGGATCTATTACGGTACATTCCAAGAAAAAGTATCACAGCCAGAAGCAAAACAAGAAGTAGAATCAACAGGTATTCCAGAGAAACTGTTGGCAGAACACCTACAAAAATAATATCCGTTATTAACACAGGAATGAGAAATTAACATGTAACATTTCTTTTCCAAGGCTATTTGCGAAAATTTATTATTATTTTTTTTTTGCAATGTTTATGGTTACATATCTTGGCATTCTAGTCCTTGGCTGGATTTCCCAATATTAATGAGATTAAACAACAATGAATATGTTTGTGTTATGTTGGCAAGAACTTCCTGAGGTTCTTCATAATTGCTTTATGCGATTTTGAATATTTTCTTTGTTAATTCCAAAAAAAAACTTAAATAATCAAGACAAATTGACAAGATATGACCAGTTACATGCATCTCATATCTTGTACTTTAGAAGCCGATCATAATAAAAACTGAACTCAGGAATTGATTCCTAAGACTAGGTCATAATTATGTCTAGTTTAGAGTTTACATCCTACTGCTGAAAAATAATAAGGAAATAAGCTGAGAATGACAAAAGTATAGTTTAAAATAAAGTTGAACATTCTAACATGATCAAGATAGACACAGCCTCTCAGTTTGAGTAGAACAGCCCAGAACTGATTTACAAAATAAACAACAGGGTAAATTGGCTCTATATAAATATGACAGTATAGTGTATTTTTCTATTTGGTGCAAAGGAAGCAGATATCATACTTAGACATTCAGGAAGTGTCTGTACAGAAATGACTAAGCTTAAGAAAGTTTACGATGCATTTAGCGCTAAAAGCTTTTAAAAAATCTGCCACAGTCCATTTATATATTACAGGGTATGACTGACCTAAACCTCTAATCTTAAATTCTAATTTTTGATGATTTATACCTTTATAATTTAATATGATTATTAAGAAAACATGACTTTATATCTTTTACCACTGAGCTGGACTTGGTCATTGTTTTGTTCATTTGTGTTCATATTCTTTTCTCCCACTGAAAAGGAAAAAAAAGGAAAAACAAGATAATGTTACATAAATGATGAGTCAAAAACTGTTTTCATCACAAATGTCAGAGTAAGAGATGTTTGGAAATGGTAAAAATATTGCATTTGTTTCATTTCACATAGTGCAATGTATTTTATCATTCCCCGGTTCACGTTCACTTTAAGACTGCACTAAACATGTGCTGTCCTTATATTGATAATATTAACCCACCAATGTACAAAGGAGGCGTGAAAAATGTTCTATGATCCCTGAAACAAATCATAACTGCCAAATTTACAAGCCATTTCTTCGTTAACCCTGCTCAAGCAACAGCTATCAGACACACACTCACTTTCTAAACCGCTTATCCTTCTGGGTCGCTGGGGGGAGGTCAGAAAGCATTGTATATAAGTAAACAAAAACAATTGGCTCACAGTTCCATTACATACTTGGCCACAATGCTGCAGGTATTACCATAATTCAAAGAAATAAAAAGGCAAATAAAAGCAGCGTATTACTGTGATTAAAATTGTGACAACTAGTGTGCATTTCTTAGAGGTATCAAAGCTCTGAGTGTCTTGGAAGTAACACAGCGTTTCAGAATCGACTCTGGTTTGAAATTGTTTGTTTAGGTACGATTGTTTCACAAGTTCCTTCATACCTCACGTAGTATATGGTTCTTTAATCAGTCCTGTCCAGTCATTCCCTTGATTTGCAAATGGACTCTGTCCTGCTCTACTGTGGGTTACAGACATGTTTGTCAAGATCATGCACCCACAAAATTCTCTATTTAAAAGTTTTTAGAAACACCATGAAGTAAACGAGAGTACGATATTTCAGAGGGTGCACTCTTATGACAAATGATAAAATGAGAGTAGAGCAGATCAGAGTTAATTTACAAAACACTTTCAGGAAAACTCACTAATTTAAACTTTACTGAGCACGATTGACCTAAACTCAGGTTTATTTCTTGTACTGTCACATATTTTTGAGAAAACAGTCATGTCTCTTACCAGTATCCTGGACGTGGATTGATTTATGTCCAGATTTTTGTCCTGATGTGCTCACATCGTTCAGAGGATATTTGTCTATTGAATACACACAACTGTATTTCCCCGAGTCCAGCACTGAAACATTTCTCAAAATGAAGACGTGCTCATCTTTCTTTCCAAGTGGTTCCATCATCAGTCCAACACCATTTTTACACAGATACATATGGAGCTGGTCACCTGATACACTTTTGTCAAAGATGCTACACTTCAGTGTTACGTTGTCCCCAGCTTTCACAGTGGGGCTTACAAAAATATCCGCTGGCTGGAAAACAGGATGATCATCTATTGATCAGAAACAGTAACATGATGTATTAGTTAAGATCAATGTTCTTAAAATTGTTTGCTTAGTTTGTAGTAAACATGTCGTGTAGGTAAAATATGTTTATGACTACTTACTAAGATAAAGACAATGCAATCTTTATTTTATCTTATCTAGGAAAAGGAAATGAAATACCTTTTGTTTGGGATAATGTTACTGTCATCATTGCTGTAAGGTCTTTGCCGGAAAATTCCAGTAGACAAAAAAAAAGTAAAGAAAAAAAACCTTAATGACAAAATTGGTCTAAAATCTCATCAAAAGTTCTTATTATGCTTTCAGTGCTTATAAAAGGTGAATTATTCATGACAATTCACACAAAAATATTTTCAGTGAAAAGCTACTAGTTCAAAGAAAAGCCTTAATGAAAAGCTACTAATGAAAATAAAGATTACTTACATATTATGAACCACCATGTCTCCATCACTGACTAAACCAGTCACTGAACTTCAGATTAGTGTTTGTAGCCTGATCATGCAGCTGCTGGGTGATGCTTCATTAACCACACTGTAACCAGCCCAGTTCTTCTTATTAGCCAGTGAAAGCACAGAGCTGTTTAAGCAGCACTCTGGAGTTTCAGTCATTCTGTCTGTTTCAGTATAAAAACTTTTTATATTCTGACATTTTTTGATGCCACAATTGCTTTCTTAACTCTCTGATTCTGTTTGTCTGATACAGCTAAAACGTTATCAGTGCCATCCAGGTGGCCTTTAAAAGTGATGAATTAATCTCTGAACATTTCTCTTTACCAAATCAAATAAACTGTATATACTAGTTTGGATCATATAAGGCAGTTAATTAAGTTCATATTGCTTTGTTGAAATTCACTCTGTAGCCTTTAATAACAGTGGTGCTCTTCTTGCCACATTACAGTACTAACACTTTTTTTTCAAGTAAGTACATTAACAACCTGCATATTAAATAACACTACATTATACATTATTTATATTTCTTGCAAAAAGGAAACTGATGTATTTACCAGATGAATTATATTCTACTTAATTTGTTTGGCAACACATTCTTTTACCTATAATTATACTGGAATTACATGTAACACCAAATCAATGTAAAGTTTATATTGGGAAAGGTTAGTAAACTTCTCTGCAAATTTAAGATCACTATAACTCTTTATTCTCATTCATTCATCACTAATCAGTGGATTTCAAATACTTCTGTATTTTCTCTTACTTTACTCTGCTTGTGTGTTTGCGTTAACATGGTAGCTGCAGATTTAAGAAGGTAGATTGTAAAACCACAGACTTTGAACTGCACATACATCTTACATGGTGCTTCTGAAGAGCTGTTGAAGTGAGGCCTGTGTTGTTTTCTCACAGGCTTTGTCTCATTCTCTTTTATCTGCGCTGCTATTTTAATCAGCTACATTGTGAAACTGAAACAGAGCGTATATTTTTTTCTTCCTGAGCACTCTGAACACACAGCTCATTACCAAAAAATGTGAAATAGCTGTTTTTGCTAATTATCTTTTTAAATGTACTTTATTCAACTTAAATAAGTCAAATTTAAAGGTTTAATTAAAACTGAACAGGATATTTAATTCACATGCACTTGCATTCAGTGCAGGCCTCATTTTAACTATGAATTAATGTTTGTGCCCCTGTAATTGCACCTAGGGTAAGTACACGGACAACAGGAGTACCACTTTTAGGCATAGTTTTACTTTTCGGAAATGGGAGTGTAATACAATATTGCGCAACATTCACCTTTAAAGGTGTTGTAGTGAAATAGGAAAAGGAGATTTGAGGACATCTGATAATGAAAAAACAAAACATCCAGCTAGACACTGTCAACATTGTGAATATGTAACTGGCTAACAAGGTTAATTCATAAGACATTGTGTGAAAAGTCAAATCTGCAGCCAGCACTGAGAACTCTGGGAATAAGGATACTGTGTACAAAGCCAGCAGCAATGGTGGACTATGGACAGTGCCAAAGCAATAAAACTGCTAAACTGCCTAACTGGAGCTAACCTGCACAAAAACAGCAGGTGGCACTCACCTCTTAGCTAATGTGTCTGTACAAAGTAATATTAGTTAGATGTAAAGGCACGACCAAACTCCCTGTCCACTCATCACACTAGAAGGAGAGGCACACACACACACAGAAGAGGAGAGAGAGAGAGAGAGAGAGAGAAAGAGAGAGCGAACAACAAAGTGAGGACAAAGCATAACTAGAAACTAATGGGGCAATCTAAAAACAGCGCAACAAGTCACCAGATTGCCAGCAAACTAAAGGCCTCACAGACACACACAACGCTCTTCCCTCTTTACACATTCTGAGAGGATGAGAGGACAGCAGTTAAATTCCATTTGGAGGGCCGAACGCCACCGATGCAACCTTTGTTTGTGATTTTTGTCAGTTTATGGAGGTTCTTTTTGAGCAGTTTACATTTAAATAAAGAAAAACAAAACAAATTTTGTCCAAATCTGAGCCACAGTTGTCAAAGTTTAACTTTAAAGGACTCATCTGCCTGTGTTCAGTGAACATTTAAACAAAAAAAAGTTCAGTAGCTCTTTCTATGAAAACCATATCTTTAAAAATCTATGATCACATTCGTAACATATCATAAAGCATTCATGAGGTTTCTAAATGTGACTACAAACAGAAAAAGAGGTAAGAAAGGAGGAAGAGTAGCTGCTTTAAAGAGGCTTCCCAGTGCAAAGACAGTGCGCTTGGTAACTTTATTTCTTTTGAATACCTCTGTTTCATGTTGAAGGGAGCTGCCTGGATTTTATCTTTAATCAATTATAGACCCCCAAGATAGTCTGCACATTTTATTGATGACTTTGCTGAACTACTGTCAGTTGTCTCCATTCATTACAACTGTATCATAACCTGTCACTTGAAAATTTCTCATGTCAAGGATGTTGTTGCATCTCTAAGTGTTAGGAAACTCTGAGCAAACAGAAAGTACTGTGGAAAAACACCTTGATTGTAAAAGCCCTGAATAGAAAATGCAGGAAAGCTAAAATTAAGTGGAGAAAAGCTAAACTTCAAATCTACTATGACCTCTATAAACAAAGCCTTTGTACTTTTAACTTTTTATGCAGAGCTAGACAGTTACAGACAGTTATTACTGGAACATCAACATTACCCACAGTCTATTTTTCATGGTTGACAAGCTTACAAACCAATCAAAAAAGACTGATTGACCATAAAAACCACAGTCAGATTATGAAACTATGCCAACTTTATTACCACTGAATACTACCATTGAATAAAAACACTAAAAGAAACAATTCAACATCTTAAGTTATTGTGTTGTCTGTTTTTTTTTTTCTTCAGTGTAATAAGGAAAAAAAACAGAGATAATTGTGTTGCGGCAACAAAGAGAAGAAACTTCATATTAGTGAAGATCTCGATACCCAGACTCTATAAACCAAAAACCAAGTCTGAAATCTTGGCATTCTCATAAACTCAAACTAACCTTCACATTTCATATCAAAGCAATCACCAATCACCTTCTGTCACTTTAAGAATATAGCCAGAATCAAATGTTTGGTGTCCCACTACATACAGAGAAGCTCATCCATGCTCTTCCTCCAGTAGGGTGTATGACTGTAATGGTAGTATTCACTACTATTAGCTCTCTGCTTTAGCCTTCATATGGCAACAAAAGGGTTAAAACAGCGATGTGATTCACCATCACAGCAACCAGCAGGACTTACTCTGTGTGTCCAGAGTGACTTTATGGAGATTCAGTGAAGATTCAGTCAGTAATCCAGGTCAAACACCAACATTCAATCCTGCTTGAATGTCCATTTAAATGCACAAATCTAGTGGATTTGTGTTCCAGTCCACTAGACTGAGTGCACTTCAATCTTTCACTCAACATCAACAAAGCAGGCCCTAAAATGCATTTTAACAGATAAGCAACAATAAATATGATAAATATTATAATAAAATTAATAATGTTTAGATCTGTCTTTCAACTTAAATTGATTATTGATTGAGTATAATAAGAGCTGATTGTGAACATATAACTTAATTTGAAATTATAAATAAAGCCTGACTTGCTGTGTATCATAGTTTTAGCACGCATGAATCCAAGAGGACAGAAAATCAATAACAACATGGCTTCCTTGCTAAGCATTTATTTTTATTTAATAGTAAGCATCAGGCATCAGATGGAACCACCATGAATATATATATACACTATATTGCCAAAAGTATTCGATCGTATGCCTTCACATGCATATGAACTTGTGTGACATCCCATTCTTAATCCATAGGGCTTAATATGATGTCAGCCCACGCTTTGCAGCTATAACAGCTTCAACTCTTCTGGGAAGGCTTTTCACAAGGTTTAGGAGTGTTTATGGGAATTTTTGACCATTCTTCCAGAAGCGCATTTGTGAGGTCAGACACTGATGTCGGACGAGAAGGCCTGGCTCACAGTCTCCACTCTAATTCATACCAAAGGTCTTCTATCGGGTTGAGGTCAGGACTCTGTGCAGGCCAGTCAAGTTCTTCCACACCAAACTGGAAACCCATTCCATGAAGCTCTCTACGCACTGTTCCTGAGCTAATCTAAAGGCCACATGAAGTTTGGAGGTCTGTTGACTCTGCAGAAAGTTGGCGACCTCTGCGTATTATGCGCCTCAGCATCCGCTGACACCGCTCTGTCATTTTACGTGGCCTATCACTTCATGGCTGAGTTGTTGTCGTCCCCAATCGCTTCCACTTTGTTATAATACCACTGACAGTTGACTGAATATTTAGTAGCAAGGAAATTTCACGACTGGACTTGTTGCTCAGGTGGCGTCCTATCACGGCACCATGCTGGAATTCACTGAGCTCCTGAGAGCGACCCATTCTTTCACTAATGTTTGTAGAAGCAGTCTGCAGGCCTAGCTGCTTGGTTTTATACACCTGTGGCCATGGAAGTGTTTGGAACACCTGAATTCAATGATTTGGATGGGTGAGTGAATACTTTTGACAATATAGTGTATATATCTGAGGTGACACTTGCTTTCCAGGTCTGTATGAACAAATATTCAAAAAAAATTACAGGTGCTAGGTACATTTTTGAACAAAAATTAGCCAAATTCATAAAGATATCAACATTCTGTTAGCATTTACATGTCAAATAATGGCATATTTGAGTAGCCCAGGGCATGTATGACTGTCTCATGTAAATACCTTATAATTGCAATTTTAATTGATCAGATGGCAAGAAATCATACGTAATTACCCTAGAGTTGTAGAAATTAAAAATAGATTTTAAAACAAAAAATTGCTCATTAAATATAAATCAAATTAAAAATGAAATTAGAATAACTGTGTAAGTGCTGTTACAGCATAGAAGTGCAGTAGAGCCAACAGTGTTTTAAACTGAGCTGAAAGCTTAGATAATAAAAGATAATAAAAAAACACATTCGTAATATAATTACATTTATTTTAAAATTGTGTGTGGAGAAGGGGGCCGTGGTCGAGCGTTGAATGCGGGATGGAGAAGTCTTGCTGAACCAGTGGGCTAAGTAGCTGATTATGTTC